CATCACATTAAGGAAATCTATCCTCAAATTACCAAGTCTAAGAGTGTTTAACAAATCAAAATAAGCAAAAAGATGGTCCATGTCCGAAATTCAAAGACATCAAGACGTGAATGAGAGAATCCACCACGAGCTAGAATTAATAGCTCACCCTGAACTCTCATGTGCTGGAGACTGGCTAGAGCTGAGGGTGAGTCGAAGTCAATGGTACACTTGTTGCACTTCACAAAAGAACAAAGAAGAAAATACAAGTAGGGGTCAGTACAAGGAACACGTACTGAGTAGGTATCATCGGTCAACTCAAAATAGAAATCAATATATATTAAACAATAGTATAAAATCAACTACAATACTTAACAGGTGGCAACCAACAAACACATGAACCATTGACAACAACACCATAATAGGTACACCATCAATCACAACATCAAGCACACCTATGAGGACTCATGCCTCCACATCATACTCAATTGGAAAATAGGTTCTTTGAGATTAAGTATATTAAGTTACTTCAAGATTTCTTGCCTTTAATGTTATTGTGTCAGAACATGACACTCCGATCCCATAATACCGTGTCGGAACGTGACACTCCGATCCAATAATACCGTGTCGGAACGTGACACTCCGATCCAATTATCTCATTTTTTTATTTCATCAAGCCTTCTTTATTCAAGGCGTGATTTTACTAGAGAGGATTAAAGATTAGAAATTCAACAATCTCATAATTTTAGGCCAACCACAAACCACACAATCAAGACATACAACCACACAATCAAGTACGTAGGAGACTTTACAATATCACTTAACACATATCAATCTCTATTGAGAGTTTATCTATCAAATATAAATAAACCATAACCTACCTCCACCGAAGAACCGAAATCAATCAAGCTACCTCTCCAATGCCTTTGCTTTCCTCAATGCCTATGAACCTTTTCAATCTATCAAATATATATACATATTTGTAAGTTAACGAGTCCACAGACATCATATTACTCTATGTCTATCCTAGACCAAAAATTCACCTAACTTTATATATATATTTCCTAAAATTCAAACCTAATAGTAAGTCTTCATTCCTCCACTTAGCACAATTTTAATAATAATTATATAATATAATACACTAAATATTTAATTACCTATCTCAATATATCAAACTTTAATTTTTTATATCATAACAAAGTTTTATAATATTAAAATTAGGCCACTGGTTAAGAAACCAGTGGCAGAATAGCAACACCTTGAAGCCATTTCCTAATTTCCCACCGACGTTACCAATTGAAGCCACTCACGAGACCAGTGGCACACATGCATTACTACTCTTTTTCTCAAGCAGCACCTCCATTTGCAGGTATGTCCTTAATTCATTTTCTATCAAATAATATAATATAAATATATATATATATATTAACATTCCTCACTTTCTTTCCAATTTCATATACATATTCCTAGTATAAAATTTTAGCGAATGATTTACCTGAAAGTCGCTTGTTCTTCTTTCATTCATGCTGCTCTCTTTCGTTCTCCTCTTCCGCTCTTTTTATTTTTCTTCTACAGATTCTTTTTACCCTAATTATCATATAATCAATTATAAAAAGTGATAAAAGTAATTCACTATTTATTTCACTATTATCTTCTTTAACCACCAACTAAATAAATTATTAAAATTACCCACTAATTTCATAATTATAATTATGAATAGTCCAAAACACCCATTAAAAATTTAGCGGAAAGTATTTATCAAAAATAATTTTACTGCTCAAACCGACTAAATGGATTGTTACAGATAAAACTAATTACATGATTAAACCTAATTAAACTGAAATTAATGTATACATATTCGCATTTAACTAACTAACTAATATATATATATATATATATATATATATATACTGAAATTTGTAATCACGTGCAACGCACATGTTACAAAACTAGTGTGTATATATGTGAAATAAACTTTAATGATACCATATAGTATAGTATATGATTGTATCATGCTGGTGCCTTTGAAGGATAGAAGTACATATCAAATGGACTAAAGCAAATCAAGTGATATCATGTTAGTATATAAATATATTGGGATAATATCATGGAAGTCTCGTCATAATATTGAAGCATACATCAATTATACCATGAAAGTTTATAGATATATTCTGATAGTATCATTAAAAAAAATGAAATAAAAAAAATAAAAACAAAGCATAGAGTGATCTAAAACATGAAATTAAATTGTGGTGAAAAAATAAATAAATAAATATTATAATTTAGGGAAGAATGGATGAAAAAGAAATAAAAATAATTAAAAAAATATAAAAAAAAGAAAAGGAAAAGGAGAGGAACATAAAATGAAGAAAGAAAACAGAAGAGAAAATAAATACTCTCTCCGTTTCACAAAGAATGACTTGGTATGACTTAGCACAGAGTTTAAGAATATAAAAAAGACTTTTGAATCTTGTGGTCCTAAATTAAAGTTAAGTCAAATGTACAAAATTGTTCTTTGATCTTGTGGCCTTAAACATGTCATGTGAAAAACTGAAATTAAAATATTATCAAAAAAAGAAAGAGGTCATTTTTTTAAAAAACTAAAAATGAAAGGCGATCATTCTTTTTAAAACAAAGGGAGTAAGAATAAAAAAAAGTAACCACTAAAAGAGAAAATCGGGGCAAAAGGAGAAAAATAAAATTAGGGTTAACAAATAAAAAATATATAAATAAAAAGGAAAACTTAAAAGAAAAATGAGTAATGAGTATATAAGATAAAATTTGAGTATCAATTATATTATGGTGTAAAAAATTAATTAATTTCAAAAAAATAAACAAAATGCATCCACAAAAAAACCATAAAAAAGTAGAGAAATATTAAATGAAAGAAGAAATAAATAAGAAAAAAAGGAAGTATATGACAAAAATATTGAGTACAAATCAATTTTTTATAAATAAAATAATTTGAAAAAAATTAAATGAACAAAAAGACATAAGTTAACTTCGTTATGAACAAACAAACATAAGCTAAATGAACAAACAAACATAAGTTAAATAACTAAAGCTACAAGAAAAATAGATATATTATGTAATTGTAAAGGGTATGTGTGTATAACTAGTTTGGTTTTATGGGACATAAACTTGGTTTTCCCAATTCTTTTTTTTTTTCTGAACAAGGAAATTATTAACATGTCAAAAGATGTCTACAGAGACTTATGGCTCTGCCACTGAACTAGCAGGAACAACGATATTTACATCCATCACAGGAGCACTATAAGGAGTAGTTGCACTTCCATGTATATACATAGATGAAAAGTGGGCTGGAGGAGCTGAATGTGTGTTCACTCTTCTAAGGTACTCTTCTCCTTGCTTGTCTGCACACAAAACAACCAAAGTTGATGGAGGAGGCTCAAAAACGTAGTAATAAAAATAGTAGGGGTGCTTCTTGTGCTGCTAAATGCTAAATTAAAACTGCTAAGCTATCTGCTAGTTTGTTCTGCTCTCTATAGACATGGCGTACGGTAGGACCACCCAGCGTCCGAAGGAGGCACCTGCAGTCAAGCAAAAGAGGTGAAATGTTGTAAAATCAGTGTACAATAGATCTACTAGCAGCTGAGCATCCACGTTTATTTCTAGAGGCAAAAGATGACGATCCAATGCTAATTGTAAACCCTTGAGTAAAGCATGTAATTCGGTGCTTAAGGCATCCGCAGTGGCCACAAGGCCTGAAAATCCCAAGATCCAATCATCATGATTTCTAAACACCCCTCCTATACCACCAAGAGCACAAGAAGCAGTTTTAAAAGCACCACCAGTATTTAACATAAAATGGTTACTGCTTGAGGATTCCATTTAACTTAGAAAAGAAATTCTACAGTCGAGTGCTGTGTTTTGCCAGCCAAAAATCAATACTCAATGGCAAGGTGAGAGGCAAGGGCGGGAGAAGGCATGAAATGCTTGCCCTCAAATATATATTTATTTAGTTGGGTCCAAATATACCATAGGCAGAAGGCCAGAAAAATCGATCTAGGTGTCATTCCAATATAACTCCTGCCATGTGAGGAAAGGAAAGGTTCCAGCCAATAATAAGGATATCTTTGAGGGTCAACTAAGGACAAAATTTGAGGCAGAATGCTACTTCCAGAAAGAAGCAACCTTAGAGCATGTAAGAAAAAGGTGGGTTATAGATTCCACATCACCCAAATTACAAAGCTGACAGACTGGCGAGGGGATGCAAGAGATGTTGTGAAGGTAGCAAGAGGTTGGCAGTTGCCAGGTGTAATAACCAGAGAAGATGCATGATTTTAGGAGGTAATGACAACTTCCTAATCCAAGCATAAGCAAGAGTAGGGCTGAGAGGTATGAGTCAACTGAGCGAGAGTGTTATAGCAAGAACGCACAGTGAACTTGCCAGAAGGTGTGAAGCCCCAAGAGAATCGATCAGAGACAGTAGTATATTGCGGGAAGTAGACCGACTCAAGTAGCCTAAGGACGTGGTGAGGCAGGTCAAAAGATAGAATTGAGAAATTCAAGTTACTGCCCCATCGATATTGGCTAATTGTACTGGCCAAGTCATGGCGAAGAAGCAGACCTTGGATGGGTGTACGAAGAGCCAGGCCAAGCTTAATCCAGGGCTGGGTGCAGAAGTTGATGTGGTGAACCGTAGTAGGTCTCCAAAGAATCCCAGATTCGCTATATTTCCAACCTTGCTGCAAAGTTTTCCAAAGTTCTGGAGGCGGCAGCTGATTTGGGCAAGTAGCAAGAGTATTTATTCTGCAAGATCATGGACCACAAATTATTTTGTGAGTTGTGAAGTCGCAAGGCAGTAGATGCAAGAAGAGCATTATTTTTTGTTCTAAGGTCCTGGATTCCTAAATCCCCTTGGTCCTTAGGGGTTGTGACAGTGATCCAACGAACTACATGAAGCTTTTTCTTTATGGGAGTTGCGTTCATAGCGCTCCATGGCCTGAACAACTGAAGATGGGAGCTTAACAACTTGCATAATATGATCGTGCAGAGAGTTGAGTTCCCCAATTCTTTTTGCATATATACCAAATGCGCACACACTAAAAAGAAAACCCAAGAAGCCCACTTACTTTTCTAGACAATACTTTTTAAAATAAAAATAAAAAAAACATTTGTCATACAAACATATTCCATCCTAAACACACCCTTAAAGTTAACTTCTCCTGGATTTATATGGAGATGATTTGGATGCATGTTTCTTCTGCTTGAATCTAATATCCTTGCTTATGAAGATATCATTCTCAGAATCATCATCGCTGTCATCACCATGCTTCTTGTTACGTTTTTTACTCAACTCCCCACATAATACCATCCTCTTTTCTTCTCTTGGCAGTGCAATGTCCAGCTTATTAGGCCTCCAAATGAAAAGAGACCTGAAATACATGAAGTACCAAAATAAAGAAGGATTAGAATTGCTCCGATTATTGAAAAATTAAGGAAAAAAGAAACTCAAGTGCAGGTTTTATTTGTAGCGTGTTGACCACATGGATGAGTGGTAAGGCAGACAACTTCAACTCCTTTTTCCCCAGTTCAAATTTGTATATATTAAATTCTTACCAGTATGATCTTATATGATCTCTCTTGACCGAGTTTTACGAAAAAAGGGGCAGGTCAAACTTATAATGCCTCATGCTCCCTTACAAATCAGCTGGTCAAGTGTAATACAGATCCCAGTATACTACAAAAAACCACAGTTGGATTGTTCGAAGAACACTAGCTCCCTTTTCCCGAAAACTCGAGGGATGTACACTGAATGACCTTAAGAGCATGGAACACTGAAAGGGTCACTGTTATTGATGGGGAAAGTAATATTTAAAAACATCAAGCTATGATGTTGGATGTAAATTCAAAAGAATTTCAGTAACAAATGAAACCTTGAATGTTCAAACAATAAAATATTTTAATTGGAGAAAGGGTCGATTTATTGGAGTTTAATAGGAACAGTCATCATATGGTCCTATCATCCTATATAAGCAAAGTCGTTTGGCGTCCATGTGCCACAAAATCCAATTTAAAAATTTGTGTTAAGAAAAATGCCTAAATAGCACATAGAAGAGAAGACTCATAAATAAAAATCACTGATCCATACCTTGAACTACCAGACGCCAGAATATCTTCACGTGGATGTAGCTTGTTCACCGAACTAATAGTTGTTATGTTGGGGTCCATGACCTCTGCAACCAACTGCCCAGTTCTGATGTTGATAAAGTCAATGGGATGCAAAGCAGCTCCATCATAGTTTTCACTAATGTAACGCCCAATGACAACAAGAGACTCTGATGAGTCCTGTCCAAAGTAACAATACATTGTTATAAACCTATTCCACTTTTTCAATTATTTAAATGAAGAATTCTGCAATTAACAAATTAGTTCCTCTGTGTGCATGCTTGCCTTTGCATCCCATTCTGCTCGGAATGCTGTAAGATATCTGTTAAAATCGTGACTATGAACAATTTCTCGGCTTGGATTATCAAGGTTGCCAAAGATTGAATCCCACACACGAATCCGATTGTCCAGTGAAGTAGTAAGTATTTTGCTTCCACTTAGTGGTGAAAAATATGCAGAACTAACAACACGTTTATGTTCAAGATTATATAGAGAAGACCCAGCTTCCAAGAGGCGCATATCCCATATTCGAGCCTGTTGGCACCAAAATATTTCACTTGAGTCAAATCGCCACCACTAAGTTGATTCATATAGACAAGAAATGGAAGTATTTTCCTGCAACGAGCTCTTACACTATTTATATGAATCAAAGAGGACATAAGTGATAGATCAGAACTTACGAAGTGATCATTCCCACAACTTAAAAGCAGATCTGGTTGAAGAGGATTGCAGTTTAGACCAACAACTTTAGTTCCTTTCTTGTGAATCAAAGTAGGTTTGCTCATTTTGTTATTGCTCCGTATATCAGCCCTGTACATGACCACCAAATGAAACCACATATAAAACCATAGTGAGATCAATGTAAAGCCCTAGGCTTACAATTTCGGTAAAGAACAGTATAAGTGGTCTATTTTGCATAGTTTGGATAATTTTGACCCTTTTTCATAAAAAGAATAAAAAGAGGGAACAAGACAATGGGATATTTGATAGAAAATTTTATATTAATAAAAAATAATTTTTTTTAGATAAACAAATAGACGGGGCTCCTAGTATGTTATTTATTGTGTTTCGATTATTGCACCATTTTGTTGTTGCTACCTTTTGGTAGACCTTATATTGCTTCCTTGTGACTTGTTATATTTTCTTCTTTGTATCTGAAATTGTTGCACTCTTAATCAAGGGTTGTTCAGAAACAGCCCATCTACCTGCACGAGGAGGTGGTAAGACCTGTGTACACTCTACCCTACCCAAACCCCATTTGTGGGGACTTCACTGGGCATGTTGTTGTACATATATAAACAGGGCGAGTATGGATTTTCATTTGATCCCAATTATGAGTTGAGTTATTATAGTACATTGGAATTTAATTTAAAATAGGTCAATAGGAAGATATTATGAAAAAAATATTTTTAAATATTATTTTCAAGCATATAGGGTCAAACTGAATTTCATGGAAAGATCTTTTAAGGGATATATTCTGCAAGAATTTGGTGGACATTAAGGGTGTGTTTAGTAAGAAAGGATGTTTTCCAATTTTCCCATGTGTTGGTTGGCTTAAATGTTTTCGAATCATCTTAATTTCCTCAAAATATAAGGAAACTGACTTCTTTTCAATAATTAAGAAAAACATTTCCCAAAGCTCTCCTTCAACCTCAAATTACAAAAATATTCTAACTTCACCCCGTACCTCGACCCCCCCTCCACCCCCCACCCCCCACCCCCCGAATCAAAAATAAATAAATTTAAAAATTTCTTTTTAAAGAACAACTTATTTCGGGCCCCCATCCCCAAACCGGAACCTCCCACAACCAAAAAAATAACAACTTCAACTTTTATTGTAGAAAAATAGTTTAAATTTTAAATTTTTTTATTTTTTTTATACAATGTCCGACTATCTCTTACCTCACTCCCCACAAAAAAAATTAGAAGTTCATTTTTTAAAACAAATAAAAATATTTATAACTTCAAATTTTCATTTTCCTCACCAACCCTACTACTAGCCCTCCACCCCTCAAAACAAAATTTAGAAGTAATTTTATAAAAGGTATTTTAAATTTTTTAGCCCACCCTGATCCCCCTACCACCCACCCACCCCCAAAAAAAATTATCTAAAAGAATTTTACCACCACCCCCAACACACACAAAAAAGTTGTTTTCCAGAAAAAATTTAAATCTTAGTTTGACAGTTGGATCACGAGTCGGTTGTGGTTTGATCATGGTTCAAAAGTTGGGGTCAAAATTCCAATTTGAAAGTAAAATCTTGAGTATCACATCAATTGTTGGTGGTTGGGGTCAAATCTTGATTTGAAAGTCATGTCTTGATTTGAGTATCGAAGTCAACCCAAATCAATGGATTGTGCTCATCTTCAAGTGTCGGGGTCAAGTCTTGGGTTGGATATCCAATCCCGATTCGAATGTCCAATTTCGGGTCTCGGGTCGAAAGTCGGGGTCAGGTCACGGGTCAAATCTTAGGGTCTACTTTAAGGTATGTCATCGGGGTTGTGATGCAATTCAGATTGCACTAAGGTCGTTCACTTGAAGTCAAGTTTGGGACCTTCAAAGAATGCAAGGTTTGTTCATGAAGTTAAGAGGTTCTTTAGCTTGTGTTGATAGCAAAGAAACGTTTCCATGCCTTAAAGATCGCTTAGGGAGTTCAAGGGAAAACGGTGGATTAAGCTACCACATTAGGCGAGTTGGACCCATTTGGCAACTCGCCTAATTGCTTAGGCGAGGGCTCTAAGCTTGCCTAAAGTTTCAGAAGTCCCAAAAGAAGAGTCAGCTCGCCAACTTGATCAGTGACTCGTCGATGGCGACCTAGCTCGCCCTTCTCCCTATTTTGGGCCTCTTTTGTAATAACTACCTAAAACTATAAATAACTAGATTAGGTTCTCATTTCAGCAGACTTTTGAATATTGATATTTTGAAACTATTGTACGAGTAATGAGAGCATGGTACAAGCTTGGGTAGACTATTGTATTGTTTAGAAATGTTGGTTGTGAGGTGAATTCATTTCCATCGATGCCCTTGCAAGAGGTAGGTGCTCATTGTACTAATAACGAATTGAGGTCTTAAGGTTTAATATAACGTTTGGTTTCTTTCTTTTTCCTCTTTTTCGCGTCTATCTATCTATGTAATCCAAAAGGATAGACCTTTTAAGTGGGGTGAAGAGCAAGCCAAAACTTTTGATACTTTGAAATCAATGCTTAGCTTCATTCCTTTGTTGCAATTACCTGATTTTGAGAAAATGTTTGAAGTTGAATGTGACGCTAGTAAAGTATGCATTGGAGTCGTGGTTATAAAAGACCAAAAGCCCGTTGCTTATTTTAGTGAAAAGCTTAAGGGTGCAACTTTAAATTATTCCACTTATGATCTTGAATTGTATGCTTAGATCAGAGCATTGGGTAATTGGAAACACTACTTGTGGCACAAAGAATTTGTCATTCAGATCGCATGAATCTCTAAGGCATATTCGGGCCTAAGGGTAGTAAAACAAAAGGCACGCCAAATGGATTGAATTCCATGAAACTTTCCCTTATGCAAGTCAATACAAAAAGGAGAAGGAAAATGCGGTGGTCGATTCCTTGTCTGGGAAACATGTGTTGATAGCTGCCTTACCTTCTTTTTTTTGAAAATGGTAACTTATAGCTGCCTTACTTTCTAAATTGCTTGGCTTTGAATGTTTGAACTTTGAAAGCAATGTATCCCAAAGACCCCATGTTTGCTCAAATCTACCAAGATTGTGAGGAATGGGAAAGGGAAAGGGAAAGGTGGCTTAGGGATAGATCTTCTACTTCCTATTCTAAATTTGATGGTTTCTTGTTCAAAGGCAAGAGACTATGCGTGGGTACGAGCTCTTGGAGAGAACTATTTGTGAGGGAGGCACACAATGGGGGATTAATGGGTCATTTTGTGTTGATAAAACACGGGGAATTCTCGAGGAACAATTCTATTTGCCTAAGAAGCCCAAAGATGTTGCTCGAAGTGTGTGGCCAATGCATTGAATGTCGAAGTGCCAAGTCAGGTCTCCTTCAACATGGTTTACACACTCCACTCCCCACCCATCAAAGACATGAACTTGATATTTCAATAGTTTTTTGTTTTGGGTCAGACAAGGACAAAACAAGGTAGAGATAGCATCTTTGTTGTTGTTGATTGATTTTCAAAGATGGCTTATTACATTCCATGTCATAAATGTGTTGATGCTTCCAATGTGGCAACTTTGTTTGTTGAAAAAGTTGTTAAATAGCATAGAATTACTCGAACCATCGTAAGTGATAGGGACCCAAATTCCTTAAGTCACTTTTAGAAAGAATTGTGGTGTGGACTTGGTACCAAGTTGTTGTTTGCAGCTTCTTTGACCCCCAGCTGATGGCCAAACTAAAGTTATGAATAGGACCCTGGGTTCTATGCTTCATGTTGTGGTGCATGGAAACTTGGCCTCATGGAATGAGCATTTGCCTTTAGTTTAGTTCGCTTATAATCGAATTATTCATAAAACTATTGGCATGACTCCATTTGAAGTGGTGTATGGTTTTAATCCCCTAACCCCTTTTGGATCTCATTCCTCTTTCTCAAGATATTGTCTTAATCTTAGATGGAAGCAAAAGGGCAAAAGCCATTAAGAAACTTCATGAAAAGGTGAAACTTCACCTAGAAAAGAAAAACCAAGGTCGACAAAAAAGTGAATAACAGTTGCAAGAGGATTATGCTTGAACCGGATGGATGGGTGTGGGTGCATTTTCGCAAAGAGCGATTCCCACTCATTGGAAGACTAATTAATGCCAAGAGGTGATGGTCCATTTCAAGTGCTTAAAAGACTCGATGAAAAGGCATACAAAATTGACATTCTTTAGGAGTATTAAGTTCACTACACCTTCAAAGTTTGCGACCTTTCTCCATTTTCAACTCTTGATGATGATGATCCGTCAAATTTGAGGACAAATTATTTTCAGGAAGTAGAGAATGATGCAATTCGGATTGCATCAAGGTCGTTCATCGAAGCCAAGCTCATGACCTTCAAAGAATGCAAAGTTTGTTCATGAAGTTAGAGGTTCTTGAGCTTGTGTTGATGGCAAAGAAAGGGTTTCATGCCATAAAGATCGTTGGGGGTGTTCAAGGGAAGACGATGGATGAAGCTTCCACATTAATCGAGCAGGACTTATTTAGCAACTCAAATAAAGTTCCAGAAGTCTCCCAAGAGAAGAGTCAACTCGCCAACTTGATCGGCGAGGGCAACTTAGCTCGCTCTTTGGACCACTTTTGGGTCTCTTTTGTAATAACTAACAAAAACTATAAATAGCTAGTTTAGGTTCTCATTTCAACGAACAATTTTGAAACTCTTATATGAGTTGTTGAGAGCTTGATACAAGCTTGGGTTGCTTATTGTTTAGAAACATTGGTTGCGAGGTGAATTTATTTCCCTCGAGGTCATTGTAAGAGGTAGACCTGTTCATTGTAGGATTAACAGATTGAGGTCTTAAGGCTTAATATACCTTTTCGTTGCTTTCTATTTCCTCTTTTTGTGTCTATCTATCTATGTTTATTTCTTTTCTTTCATTTATGCATTTTAATTCATAATTCATAGTGAGAATTACATCAAGTTGTGTCCTAGTTCGTTTGTCGAGTCATGCCTCGATCAATTATTGAGGTTGGTTTTAGGGTCAAATTATTTCTACTCTCCAATAAAAAATAATAAAATATATTTTCAAACTGTTTTTCATTCAAAAACCTAACACTTGGAAAATATTTTTTGAAAAATATTTTCAAACATGAGAAAATAAATCAAACGAATACTTGTTCTACAGGAAAACACATTTTCCTTCATACCAAACACACCCTAAATAGATTTCTAGCTGGAAAAGATTTAGAATTGGAGGAAATAAATCAGAAAAATGGTGTAGTCTATAGGGGAAGTTCTTTATAAAGTAGGTCTTTCATAATTGGACTATGTATGGTACTAACATGTTACCTAATTACAATCCAAGTTTTTTCCACTACAGGAATGGACTTGCATTATTTCTTCAAAGCAAACTGAGAGAAAAGTGATGGAAAATGAGTTCAAAAATCTAAAACAGATACTGGAAGTTGTAATGTGCTGAAAAACTAGATTAGAGAACCAGCTCCTGTTTGCAGTGTCGAATTCATTATATCCAGTCTAGTTCAATGAATGAGTTGAAACCTTATTCGCTTCCTCCATTATTTGCTGATTCTAGAAGCTTTATTGTGAGGTGATTTTCATAGAGTGTGAGCTTGAAGATAGTTAGCTTGAAAAACTAAGCTAGAGCTCTATGTTGCTCAGACTCTTCAAACATTTCATCAAGTGCATGTTGGATCTTTCAAAAGTAGTGCGTTTTGGAGGATCAGACAGAGGTGCGCAATAATTTTGAAGAGCCTGATCAACTTTGCTAAAGCTAGCTGAAGATGGTTTTGCTACAAACAGAGTGGCTAAATCATCTGCCTAGGATTTAGTCACTTAGGTTATTATCAGAATAGGTGTAGGAACAAGATTAGTAAGTAAAATCCTACTTGATGACGGATTGTAATGTAGTGTCCTAGTTGGAAAAGGAGTCGAGCGTAGTGTAGATAAATAGGGTCTTAGTGTAATAAAAAAGAGACACAATTCAATAATATTTTCTCATATATTTTCACGGTATCAAAGCCTCTACAATATGGGTAGAGAATCAAAAAATAATGGCTTCGGAGTCGGCGGGCAATTATAACTCATATTGTCGCCCGTCTTGCCAATTATTATCTTAGCAAAAATTGGGGCAAACATGACAAAATAATCATGTTATGAAGGAGTAATCTGAGAAGCATTTGAGATAAAGAAAGTAGTCACCGTACTTCTTTTCGCTAGCTTCTTAAATCTAACTCGTGTACATCGTGCATCTTTGCGGTGACTACTTTTCATATCCATTTTGCATAGCACCGCGCTTCTTTCCCCATTATTTTCTCATATATGAGTTGTCTAGCACACTGAGTCTTTCCAATGACTACTCATATTTGATTAGCATAGTTCCACACGTCTTTCTGGTAACTCCTCAAGATCTAACCACGTGCTAGCACGTGAGCTTGTTTCATCTTGTTTTCCCAACTTCTGGTTCAATATTTATCGTCTCTTGATTTCGAGATGACCCATATGTTTTGTATCAATTTCTGACAAATTTTCAGTTTGTTCCTATTCAACTGAGATTGCAGACGTCCAAACCAGTCCTCACCAATTTTCTTGCAGATATCTTTACAAAGTCTCTCGCTGATCCTTGTATTAATCACATCCGTAACAAGCTCGGTCCATATGACTTGTATGCTGGTGCTTGAGGGGAGTGATAGAATAAGAGTAGGAACAAGAATACAATACAGAATCCTACTTTGAAAAGGACTGTGATCCTACTTTGAAAAAGGAGTCTAATGTATTGTCTCTAAATACGGTCTCAATGAAATAATGTGCAGGCACATTTCAATAATATTTTTCTCATATATTTCTCCCAGATATAAAGAGCTTTGCAACCTGAAACTGCTCTCGTGTTGGCAAAGTTTAGTTGAGAGAAATCTCAAAGGTGGGTCGTGATTTTTCTTCCCTTGAGCAAGGATTATCCACATAAAATTATCCTGTTTCAATTTATTTTCGCATTTTTTTACAGCAGTAGTTAGCTGAACCAGTACAAAGTACCAGCTCCTCATACTAAAGATGTGCAGACTGCAACTGAAGTTAGCTAAGAATTTTGACAGGCAGAAAGTTTAGTACAGCCCTATTCACCCCATACTTGAATCGAGTAGGTGAACTAAATTAACAGTCCAGTTCCCAGCCATTTCTCCTCTAATATAGTGAAAGAGACTGGATTTGCGTCATTTTTATGCCTACTGCCCAAACGATAATCAGAGTTCAGAGTGCACAAAGGTCCCGTTGTATTCCTAAAGATAGCTAAAATCATAGACAGAGATAAGATAGCTAAAATCATAGACAGAGATCCCTAATGAAAGTTATCTTTTCAAATGACGAGTAAACAATCCTTGATAATTTCTGTATGCCCAGCCAACCAGGTTGAAATTGTTTGTCACCAATGTATGAGACATACATTGACATAATGTGCATGTAAAAATACCATCAACCAGTCATTTTGACAGACAAAGGAGAAGATTTCATATCTATCAAAGGTTTTAAGTGAAAGAAAGGTGAATCTCCAATATTTGCACAACATTTAATAGACCTCTCAAAAAGTTCAATAGACACTTACATGTAAATATATCCAAAATTATCAGCAACAAGGACCACATTTCTTTCTGAGTTGACATCCAACCCATAAAGCATCCTCCAACTGCTTGGTCCCTACAAGAAATTCATTTGTGACTTATACAACCATATAACCACTTCATGACGACTGACTTGTTGGTGTCATCTCTTCCACTCTCCTTTCTTTGCTATTCCCTAACCGAAAGGGATAAATTTAGTGATGTAATCAGTGTGACCCGGAAGCTCATTGGTGTCTCTAGAAACACAATGGGGGCATCAAGACATCATTTACCTTGACCCACAGTCAGGGAATACACACTTAATAAAATTCAAGGATTCAAAAGTATACAGCTATATTACAAAGCAAACACCGAAGATGATTCAAACAACAAACCTGACTGAAAACCAAGGGAGAAAAGTCAACATGAGAGTCAAAAAGTATAAAATATGTAGATGTATCGGTTTTCAGTATATAAGCAAGGTTAAAATTCCTGCAATAATCTGTGTCTTGCTGCTGAAATGTATCTATGGGCACTGAAAGGGGACAAGCAAGTTCAGAATAAAAGTGTCCAGCGCCGTGTTTACAAGGTAAAAAATCTCCCGTGGATGTGTCCAACCACAATAACTGAAATAACAGGACAATTCATATAAACAGAACAACTTGTTTTCAGAAAATCACCTCCCACCCATTTGGATTAAGGTTCATTAGCGACAATGAAATCCCAGTCTCTAGGTCCGTACAACTGATTGTTCCGTCAGATGAAGCAGCATATATGGATCCATCATTTGTCGGGTTGAACCTAAACGAATTAAAAACAACTCATTTTTTCACAGAAAAGATAATAATGCAGGTGAAATCTAAATGCAGCCGCAGACATTAAAACATATCCATAAATGCGACAACAGGAGAGAGAAACACTCACTTCATGTTGTTAAGTATACAATTGTGTATGTTCCCATATACAGTCTTTTCATGCACTTTCCCAAAATCCCAGATGCCAAGTTGGCCTTTCTGAAACATAAAGTAATATAGCATTAACCTCTACAAATTTATGTGACCTTCCAACAGAGAAATCAATTCATTGTCACACTTAAGAGTTATATTGCAGAGAGGTCTTGGACCTTATCACCAGATAAAAGAATATTGTTGTTTGTAGGATGGAACTCCAAGCACGTGATTCGCCTACTGTGGTACCTGATTACTGCACAGGAGACTTGATCTGGGATCACATGTGCTGGCTTGATCTATTACAGAAACCAAGGAAAGCAAATTATGAAGCACATACTATAATGATACATATTGTGTAACTTCACTGTATAAAGGAAATATGTTGAACTATAATAAACAAGGAATGGTAATCTGTTAAGCTACAACACGTCACAATGAAAAATTACCCTATAATCAAAAACTAAAGTAGAAAACATATTTCACATACGTTGCGAGAGATTTTATATGGCAAAGATCACATGCAAGATGCAAGACATAAAATTATATGAAGAATTGAACAAAACCTGAAAACATGTTCCCTCTGTTCCATTGTTATGTGGCACTATTTTACTTGACAGGGAGGTTTTAAAAAAAAAGGCATACCATGACATTTATGCTGCTATACAAGCACATCATTAAGAGGTAAAAGAAGAAGTCTAAAGTTAAAAGAGTTTCTAAATTTAGAAGGCATCGTTCTTTTTCGTGAAAAGATACAAAATAGGAAGAATGCAACATAAAATGGAATAATGGAAATAAAAAGGAGCAAAACGATGTACCAATGACAACTAGAGTACCAATGTAGTATCTGTAGAAACATAGAAGCTGAATCCTTGAAATCCAACATAAATATATGGAGTAAAACTGAAACTACAATTAATTTCATAGAGAAAAAGAAGAAAAATCGATTGACAGATATTTAGATCAAAATAGACAGAGAAACATTCTAGTCAAACTGTAAAGCTTACAAAGTACTCCCTCCGTCGAGAAATATTTGTCACGCTTATCGAAAGTCAATTTGACTAATTTTCAAAGATAAATTAGATCACATTATTTTGATATTTCAAACAAAAAATTTAGATATTCTAAAACTATATGAAAAATACTATAAATTACAATTTTTTCATACTAATATGACGAAAAAATGCATCTTACAATATTAGTCAAAGTTTTTATAGTTTGATTCTAAAAACAAAAACTATGACAAATTATATCGACGGGGGAGTAGTATCTAAGGAAGCATGAACATTTATTGGCAAAGAATGATACACGTGGATGTGAGGATAGCATATCCAAACTTACTGGAGGAAGGCGGGGGTGAAGCTGGCGTTGGAAAACAAATTCCAAAGGATTAGTTGTGTTCTTGTGAGGCGCTGGGTGCATCCCATATTCTGTAGCTACTCGGTGGGGGCAAGTGACTGTGGTGTGACCTTCAATCCCACAAAAAAGAAAACAAAACTAAAGTTAATATTGAGGAGAAAATGTTAGAGCAGTAAGTGGGCAGAAATTACCAGGCAATTTGCATAGAAAACATGGTTTCATAGGGCAATCAATATAAGTTGCACCTCTGAAACCTGCTTCATGACCACTTCTCTTGCAAACCTGAAAAATAATAAACCCTTGAGAGTATAGTATAGTACTAAGCAGGAAAATTCGAAAAAAGAGTGAAACAAATACTACTTTGCAAACTTTCTTGAGAGTAACAGTGATGGGTGTTTTCCCTTTTTGTATTCTCTCCTCTTCAGGTGAAACTACATTAGCATCTTCTTCTTCTTCATCAGAAGAACTTTTCTCCGACTCCGTGTCTTTATCGATCATTACTCGAGGAAACAAACTTCTTCTACGCATTTTCTTTCGACACACAATTGGGTACACAATACACAAATACAACCACAACCTACTTAACAACAACCCGCTCTTCTCCTTCTTTTTTGAAACCTTAACCCATGGCCTAACAACTCGACACGACTTCTTATTTTAAACCGTCCAAATTCATCCTATGCCTCTCTCTTTCTCTCTTATTAACTCTTCATCTTCTCCATTTCATTTTTAAAAAAAAAAAATCTTTAATGGTAAATTCCTCCAAGTATTTTTGTACTCATAAATTTAGTTTCTAAAAGTTTTAATTTGAGTTAAACAAAATTTATAGAGTCTCGACTTAAATTGAATGCATTTTGTAAACTTTTATAAAATTTCAATCTCTGCAAATGTCGCCTACTTCAAGGCTTGTCGGAGTGTAGACTTGATAAAACTCAAGATGAGACTTAAAGTACTCATTCTTCTACCTTTGCAGCTTCAGATTTTCATATTTGATTTGCAGCTTCAGCTTTTCATATTTGATTTATGAGAGAACAGATGAAGGGCAGATTTCGCCCCATTGTGCGTCTCAATTTGTTTGCAACAAATTTTTAACATATGAAAAATAAATAAATTACACAAATAAAATATAAAGAAACATAAATTTATTGGTCAAGATTGCGGTTACAATTTCGTTGATTCCTTGATTCTACTCTCCTAAGATTTATCTATGATTCGAGGGTTGTTAGTGGCGTATTTCTCGAAATAGGATTTAGATTTGACCTTTCTATAGAAAATTTGCATCAATTTGTGGAATATTCAATATCGCGATCTCTTTATGAAATTTTGGAGATGTCTTTTAAGAGAATTTAGTATCCTAAATTTAAGCATGAACTAAGGTTTAAGGATGAGTAGCCTCCAAGAATTCTAAATGAAATCGAACACACCTTATAGAGTCACAATTTGAATTAAACGCATCTTGTAAAGTCCAACAAAATTTCAATGTCTACAGTGACATTTATAAATTTAACAAATTGATACATATAATTTATTTATTTAAATTTTGTTATAAGAAAATATCAAAAAGGTAAATGAGAAATGAATTTATAAGATAAATATTCAACATTTACCACGAGATGAAATTTTAGGTAGTCAATAAGGTACTAAGTCAACATTTAAAATTATATTTTGTCTTATAATTATATCTCAATTTTCATATATATTTACTTAAATGAAATAATTATAAGTATGATCAATTTACCGTGGCTAAAATTAATTATTTATTTTTATACTTTTATACTTTTTTTATGATTAAAATAAATATTTGTACATGTAAGATATTTTTTCTTTTTTTTGTTGGCATTATATATATATATATATATATATATATAAGAGAGAGAGAGAGAGAGAGAT